ACCCCCCAGCCCAACTCTACTCCATTCGTCCCCTCGGTGGCCATGCCCACTGCAACCTCTACCCCTCAGTCCTTCACCCTGCCGGATCGCCCATGGCCATCGACTCGGTGAGGACCAGGGTGCCTCGGAGGCAGACGGCACGGCGAGGGCGTGGTGTTCTTGGATCGGTCGCCCGTACTGACTCCCGCGGTAATCTATTGTTTCCAGGCGATCCGGCTACGACCGGGCATAAACCCTACAAGTTCGGGGTATACTCGTCGAGGCGACGAATCTTGAAGAGGGGATGATGTCAGGGGAGACGTGTCAGCAGGATGAGGTCATCGGTATTGATCCGGCGGTGTTCCGGCGGTGATCCGAGGGTTATCAGTCAGCGGTGTCATGCTCCTTACATCATCTACTTGTATATAGATTTGCTGGGATCTCTGATCCCCAGTCTTGTTATCGACTTGGCCCCTGGGCTCCACTCCCCTTACAACAAGAAAAACTAGCCATGTGATATAGATAGGTGAGCTTTGATTTGCCCACATTGTATATCAGAAAGATGTTGGTATTTTGAGAGGACCATCTTTTGCAGCTTTTTAGTGCATCCACAATTTACCAGTAGAGCATATTAGATTTCTTAGAAACCACCACTTTCTACAAAAAAGCTTCTATAGAAAGTTCTTGACTTTCTATGGGAAGTGATTCAAATCTGTGCAATTGTCAGACGTGGTCACACTGGTCACAATGGATGACATTCATTTCGATCCAAATCGTGTCAAGTGTGTCATGCACACACGTGTTGTCTTGCACCTCCTCTGCACTAGAGGTTGCTCTTTTCAGCACAACTGGGAGTGTGGGAGGCAGGAGACGGTGGAATTGGCGAGAGTTGGTGGTGTGACAAGTAATGTGATTGTATGTGGAGTTCCTTTTGCTATAGAAAGTGGCCCAGATTTAAGCGACATTTGATATATTTTATGTAGAAGGTTACTTTTTACAAATTCCAATATGCTCTAGTGTGTGCAGTCCGCTAAGACTGCAGGGGACTTATTTTTTCCGTGGAAAACATGTGACAATCTAGAAATCCGATTTTCACTGTTCTATTTTGTGAGTAACATTCAGTAGTCTTTTGCAAGGTCAGGAATGCAAATTGCCGGAATCAACAGATTCTCCTAGTGGTTTTAATCTGTTTTCAGTGAAAAAATATTATCTTTTTTTGTTTCTATTTTCAGTGAAAATCGACGTCTATTCCCAGTGAGACTCGATTAAAAAAAGATGCTCTATTTACAGTTCTGTTTTCGGCAGGAATATATGTCTATTCATGGTAAAAATTGAGCTGTAAATCGACGTTTATTTTCAATATATATTTTTCGTCTGAAAACAGAACAGTGAAAATCGGACTTCTAGATTGTCATGCGTTTTCCACGGAGAAAAAATAAGTCCCCCCGCAGTGTGATAGGAATTCAAATTTTGCTGGTATACTTATCCAGAATTATTACAGATCATTTAAAAACAACAAGAAAGCATAAAATACAGATGAGCAAAGTCGTTGCCTCAAGGCTCAAACCTCAATCGGGTCACACAGAGCACTTCCGGCTCGGTGCCAAGAGCATCCAAGACCTTTCTGGGAGCACAACAACACGCAGCTCTCTCGTCCCACCTGCAAGCTCCACACAAGTCTTGTAATGCTTCCAGTCATGCTCGGGCGCCAAAAGCGGGAGCTCGGAAAACGGGCAGATGCGTAGATCGACCGCTCCGGCCGCGTAGTCCATGATTGTGAATGTGGCAAGCGGATCGGGGCTCGGCAGGCGCTTTGCATCGGTCTGTGTGAGAAACATAAGAAATGCAGGAGGCGGGCTGGATCCTGTGAGGAATTATTCAGAGCTGTCTTGAATCAGAGCAATACGCAACCGTCACAGACCAAGCTTGCCGCAAAGCGACCGGTGTGTGCCCTGCTTCCAGTCTCGTCTGGCAATGCTTGTTGCAGTAGAACACTTGTCGGCACTGTGAGCACCGTTTGAATTGTTTCTTCGAGGAATCTTGGGGGCACTGATTTATTCATTCTGGTCAGCTCATATTCTCTCATCTAATTGCTTCAATCGCACCTGAGGCCCATCACATAATATGACCCCCACCCGCCCGCGCGAGTCGAAATCTTTCTTGATGGAAAAACGGGCTTTCAACAATGGCAGCATCCGAGACCACGGTGTGACTAGCGGCCCGATCGGGAACTTCAACTGTGTCTCCTCAAGTGAGACAAGAGCACGTTCGAGATACGCCAAAACAGAATACGACGTCAGCTGCCCGGGGAGCACGTCGCTGAGCAGTTTCATCTGGTTTGGGAAGAGCGTGTCTGCGTTCATGGATGTTGTCCCCGGAGATGCGAGAATGCCGAGATTTGTCTTGGCGATAGCGGGAAGCAGCCCGGAGCACAAGGCCTGTCGGACCCAGGAAGGATTTGGCTTTGCCCGGGTGAGCAGCGTGAAAATCGGGCCCTGCAAAGTCAGCATCACGCCCGCTCCATTAGTCACAGGCAGGGCGATTCTCCCGATACGGTCGAGACACAGCGAGAGCTTGACCAATCCAGCGGCAAGGCCCATGTCCATGAGGACGTCGATCAGCACGTCCGAATACGCTACTGTGATCTCCAATAGCGCCGTCAGCGACTGGACGGTCCAGGGCAGCATAGTAGCCTCATGCCACTCCTTCTCGCGTCGCGTTATGCGGATGTGTTGAATGACGAACATCGCATAGTCCACACACGTTCCCCCGCACGCCTCAAAGATCTCCCCTTGGACGTGCGGCGCTGCATGATTGAAGATCAGAAGAGAGCACAGCAACCGCCCGAGATCCGAAGTATACGGCAGTGCCCAAGACAGATCAAATACAGCGCGGCGCCACAGATGAACCAGGTGCCGAATCAGTCCGGGTGTCACGTGCACGATGCCAAAGGGCACCGGCGGTTGCGGGGAGGCGCCTGAGAGCCATCTGTCGGATACACACAGCTGACGCAGAACGGAGAGTGCAAGCTTCCGAACGTCGGTCCCTTCAAGCGATACTACATCCCGATCGTCCAGCATCTGATGCATGCACAAGCATTGCCAGATCCGGGGCCATAGGCTCACTATAGACATCTCTGGGATGAGTGATTCCCTGAGCAAAAGTTCGATTGATTGTAGCACGGGGTATGTCTTCAGGATGTAATCGGCCGGCGGTATGGCATCGTCTCCGTGGTCGATGGTCTGCGGTGGTTCAAGCAGCCGAAACAGCAACGGAAGGAGGGCCGCCTGGTCGCAGGGTGGCAGTTTTGGTATGGCGAGGATTGCTTCCAACTCTTCCGGCTTACAGCTTAATGCAGTCTTGGCAATGTTCTATCATCAAATTTGAGTCCTTAGCCCACGATTGAGGCAACGGTGAGCTTCCCTGAAGACGAGCAGGAAGCCTGGCAATATTCGCCCATCTCAGAGTTTCTTCGGGCATGGTGGTAGCGGAGGAGAAGCGGCAAAACCGTTGACAACCCAGGAGGCATTCGAATTCCTCAACCCAATTAGGTTCGAATCTGCCCGCCGAATTCAATTGCAAGTGCGACATCGATCATTGCCAGTTGACATCTTTGGCAGATTGTAACAGGTCGCTCGACACCCGGCTCGTGCAAAACACAATTATTGCGGACTACTCACTACATTGCGTTGATTCGAGCTCGGGATACGATCGAGAATCGTAAATTCCTCTGGTTTGAGTCCAGCAGTCAGCATCCACACCAGCTGCTTAGAAGTGCGGTCACAAATGGACATGCCCGCCACTTGACAATTTGATAACAAGTCATTGATGATGATCTCACATAGAGCAGCTCGTGAACCGGGCGGACAGAGACTCAAGCTCCCAACAGGTTGGCGCTTCTTATCTTACCTCAATGGCGACTAGCCAACATCTTTCCCAATCTTAGGGAGCATGGGAACAGCACCAGCAGTCAGGCGGAAGGGTGAGTGCAAGAATCTGATACGATATTCCTTATTCACTTGCTTCCAATGGACTCCGCATCGGAATAGGGTTGGTGAGCAAGGAATATTTTCAACTTGCTATGCAGTTCCTCTGAGAATATTTCTTCCCAAGAGGTTGGTTAAATCGAACTTGCCCCTATTTTGTCAAGGACTGGCATCATGCGCGGCTAAGGCTGGAAATGCCCTTGTGGATAGGATGTGGGAGCATCTCTTGATCAAAATAAATCCCTGCAAAGCGTTGCGACGACGCAAACCTTTGTTCCAAATATTCGTCCTAATGATAGCACCGACGATGATTGGCAGGGGAATGACAAGTGCACTCAGCCGGTATTGACCTACAAGCTAGAACGTAATACAGAGGATCGATCCCACTCTTGTTTTCGGACGGTGATCGCGGAATACTTCACATCGCTTTGCATTTCTCTTCAGTCTCAGGGCTGCTCGCCGACCGGGGAGTGCACCCTGCTTCCTCTCCCGCTGCCTACCCACACCTGACCAATCTTCGCCACCAAGCTCGGTCAAAAACGCATCAGCGCGCCGAAGAAGGGAACCGGCAGCTGATGTACTGCTTGGTCTTCATTTTCGGAGAGGAAAACGTGCGAGAAACGTTCATTCATGCACTTTGCCTGGCTAGCGCATCGGTACATCGGTCCGGATCAGACCTTGTTGTACGGAATCGACAACAAGCTTGATGGGGATAGCCTCGACGAGCAAGACATGCTGCTGGGGAAACTTACATCAAGGAGCACTGCCAACTGATGGGTGGATATCTAGCTGCGAATAGACACGCATCCGTTCGTCAAAAATATTCGCTGGCAGTCGATGTTCGAAGTGGAACGCTCGCCGCACGAAGCGAACTGCTTTCGCATCTGACTTGTGCGGGAGCTTTCGCATCGTTCTCTCCGGGAGGGATCAATCGGTGAGCCTTGTTTTAAAGAAGTTTTTCCACTATGAGAGCTCGCAAGCGAGAATCAGTTTCACACCCTGGCCTGCGCGACCGTAAGTCCGTCTCAACCCGAGGGTCTCGGGATGCTGGGCGGACGGACTACTTGCCACAAGACCGGCCATGTCGTCGTCTACATGCGAGATGAATTTCCGTTGGCCATGGCCGTTGACGGTGATCGACATTGACAACTGGGCCAGAAACGTGGTGTGGCCGCAAAAGTGATTGTATTAGGCAATTTTTAACCCGAGCGTGACCTTGCTCAGCAGAGCATCACTATCCATCACCTGACCTACTTCGTTTCTCCGATTACTTCGATCGATGGTGTATCTCCGTCAATGGAATCAAGTGCTTGATTTGACCTCGACTCGTAGCAGTCTCAAGTCCGTTCTCGCTCGTATTACAGAAACTAGCTCAATACATTCATCGCCGCGCTACTTAACGTCTCCAAGCGACCGCATTTCCGATGTTCGCTCCCGATGCAAATACATCCACTGTCTAAATGTAAAATCCCACTGGCGGACAGCAGGAAATCAGCCAGCCTGCGAAATGGAATAATTCTACCATACTTACACGAGTAGACGAGCGAGGTCACGAACACTCTCGAGATCTGATGCTTCCGCCGATCGACATCGTTAATGATTTCCAAAGCTGCACCGAGGGAGGGTTACCCCGAGGTTTCTATGGATAATGGCATCGCGGAATATACCGCACTCGCTCAAAGAGCGGCAGGCCGCCGTCGTCCTGGTCGCCGGCGGCCACCCCCCTCCTGTCGAACACTCTACACCATTCATAGCCAAAATGGGCAGAAACGACAACAGGAACAACCACCCAATTGATCAGTGCGTGGCTGTCAAGCAACCGAGGGTGATTGATGATGATGAGGACCGGCAGCGCGTCAAACGCGTGGTACATTGCCAAGGAATCGAAGCGTGCTATTTATAGCCGTGACCGCTCCCGAGTCACGACTTTTTCATTTCGAAATTCACTGGCCCCTGGCTCAGTTTTCTCCAAAAATCGACGGGTAAGAGGAGAGCCTATGGAAAATTGCCATTTACGTAGAGCTGTTGGGAGAGATAGACCGCTCGCAAGGACTCGGCAGGGCACGGAGACTGCGCGGACATTCAGACCCGACGAAGTTTGATTGGATTTCACTTCGGAGATGATGTGGGCTTCGGAGGTTTTATCTTCTTTTTTGCTGCATGGGAACAGCGTGGCGGTCCCCTGCGGCCCGGCTGCTGTCGAGACTCCCAAGACCCAAGCCTACCCCAGACCTGATTCCTTGGCTTTGCTTGGACGCGCTCGGGAGGGAGTGCGTATCATCAACATAATCAAGTCGGTGTCCCTTCGGTGGGTCGCGCACGCTAGCAGGGGCAGCGTAAATCCCCGGTGCATCTTGCGTGACAGGAACAATCGGTGTCGTCAAGGCCCCCCGGCAGACGGGGGAATCCTGATGCTTGCTTTTGTTGTGTTTCCGCGCACCGATATGATATAAAAGCGAACGGGGGACACCGTAGTTCCCCAGCTTGATCCCTTTGGCCTACTCACCCAACACCTTCTTTTCTGTTTCCCCGTCTTGAAGGCGACAACTTTCATTCTTTCATTCTTTTCTCGGCTTGCCGCATTTCAGTCCAGCACTACCCTCGATTGTCACGTACTTGTTGTCCTCAATGGCTCGTTTCGCTCTCCTCGCTCTCCTTGTCCCCGCCCTTGTGAGCGCTGCGCCGCTCAAGAGCAAGCGTTTCTCGTTTGCTCTCCAGAGGTAGGCTTGTTCGTTATGAGAAAGATTCTGACGCTGATCCACTTTGCTTCTAGCTACGACAGCTTCCAGATCTCTGATGGCGTTGGCGGTAACGCCAAAGCCCAGGCTGACGCGATCTTCGTCACGCCGTTCCCCGCCGATCTGAGCACGGTCGACGCCACCTCCCTCGCGAACGTCGAGGCGATGCACACCGCCGCGGAGAACGCGGAGACTCAGCAATTCGACCCTGCCATCTCGGCTGCTTCCGGTGCCACTGGTACGTCCGCTTTCATACCAGCCTTTCCTGTATCATGTTGCTTACCTACGGGCAGCCGCCGCTCTCCAAGTCGGCAAGATCAAGAACAAGGTCTTGAAGCTCACCGCTGAGGTCCAAGGCATCAAGATCAAGATGGCCCAGGCCCAGGCAGCCGGAAAGAGCACTGCCAGCCTGCAGTCCTCCCTCACCGCCGAGCAGTGCGTCGCACCCAAAATTCCTTGCCGTTCGAACGCGCTAACTGTACGCACAGGACCAAGCTGACCCACAACATTGCCCTCGACACCGCCGCCGCCGGCAAAGCCGCTCAGGGAGTCACCGGCGGAAGCGCTGCCGCCGCTGGAACTGCCGCCGCCGCTGCTGCCCCTGCCGCCACGACCAAGGCTGCTAAGGCCGCGAAGACCAAAGCTGCGAAGACCAAGGCCGCCAAGGCCACTGGCACCGCCGCCGCTGCCGCCCCCGCCGCCACTGGTGCCACCCTCGCTGCCACCGGTGGAAGCGCCGCCGGAACTTTCGACTTCGCTGTCCAGCAGTGCGTCGCCTCGGGCCATGATGCCTGTTTATCCCAGCTCATCTCTTCGCAGATACTCGTCGTTCCAGATCTCCGACGGCAAGGCCGGCACTGCCCAGGCCCAGGCTGACGCTATCTTCGTCGCCCCCTTCCCCGCCGACCTCACCACCGTCAGCGCGTCGGCTCTCGCCAACCTGAACACCATGCGTCTCGCTGCTGAGGCCGCGGAGACCGGCAAGTTCAACCCCCAGATCGCTGCTGCCTCCGGCGCTGCTGGTAAGTCGAAATACCTACTGCGCCGTGTGCCTAGTCGTACTGATGTATCTTGCTAGCCACTGCCCTCCAGAACGGCAAGATCAAGAACAAGGTCCTCAAGCTCACCGCTGAGGTCCAGGGTCTCAAGATCAAGCTCGCCCAGGCCCAGGCCAAGGGCTCCAGCACCTCGTCCATCCAGACCTCCCTCGCCACTGAGCAGTACGTGTCTCCGATCGTGAACTGTCTGGTTGCCTTGTTGACTCCCCACCGCAGGAAGAAGCTGAGCAACAACATCGCACTTGACACCAAGGCCGCTGGCCAAGCCTCCAAGGGTGTCGCATAGATAGACAGTCTCCCATCTCGTTCTACTTGTGCTCGTCCCTTTTTTTCTCCGTACCACCCTGTAGCCAAAGCCGTTCAATTCAAGCCATTAAATTCCTACCGTGGTTCCGTACATAAGACTGAGTGCTCAAACGGATGTGCATGCCGGTTTCTGCTGGTCAGAGGCCTTGCCTCTGCAGAGAGCAAGGCAGTTGTTTGTTTTGGCAACAAAGGTATCATTGAGGCGTGCCTTCTTACCACAAGATTCAAGGCAAGTTTAGTCCTGAAGCGACCATTTTCCTGCCATCGACATGGAAGAGATGAGGGTACCCGGACCTGTAGATCGCTCACGCAACTGTAGCCAAAGTAATCTTGGCCTTCAGCTCACTGATTCAGTTACCGGGTTGTCTTGATTCACACATCTCAGCTGATTCAGTATTCATTCTGCAGTGGCAAATTTCAAGATTTGTCCCTTCCAAAATAGAGTACACATAGGTTAGAGGGCAATACTGGTTGAGCATTTGCGTAGGGACACAAGCTTCAGCGGCCTAGGAGTTGTTGATCAAGTGTTAAAAACTCCAGCTATTCGGTCAATGCGATTCAAAGCTAGCCAATGTGCAGTCAGACGAGGTTGTACAAGCATGGCTCCGATCGTTCGCACAGATCGCCGAACCAGTCAACACGTCAAACTAGAAAGCACGCCCGCTTCGGTTCACAGGAAGAACCGATGTACGACATAAAGCGACATCCATACGAACAACGCGACCTGCAGCACTGCAACGAGCACCCGGAAATGTCGTGACCGCGACATCCGCTTCAGCCGCAGGCGCATGCTACTCGGCGGACCCTTCGCACCCGCCGCGTCGATCGCGGCGACATCTTCATCGGACAAAGGCGCTGCCGGCTGAGGTGAGCGCGAGAACAGAGTGCGGGGAAGTGGACAGCAACGCACGTAGGTCTCCGACGGCAAGGTACTCCCGCAGTCGCTCCTTCTTGGACGTCGTCGTGACGATGACGGCACCCTTGGCGCGCACCCACGACAGCAGAACCTGGGTCGGCGTGATTCCCAACCGGGCAGCCGCCGCCGCAACGGGCACGTCGACGGGCCCCCCAGGGTACTTGGTGATCGGGCTATAGCGGGAGGCGGTGAGCAAGTCGAAGCGGTGGAAGGTTCCGAACCCATACCTCAGACTGCTGAACGCTTCGATGACGATCCCGTGCTCCTGGGCCCAATCGATCGTATCCTTGTAGTCGGCGTACGTGTACGGATGTAGCTCGATTTGGTTCACGGCGGGCCAGACAGTCGCGGTTTGCAGCAGATTCTGGAGCTGTTCCAGGTGGAAGTTGCTCACGCCGATGCTCCTGGAGGAGCACAATGGATATATCAACGAGGGCAGCGCGAGCAGAAGCAGAGGGAACTAGCGAACGCACTTGGTGAATCCCTGCTTCTGGAACGATTCCACCGTCTTCCATACCTCCTCATACCCGGGGCGCGGGGAATGGATCAGATACAAGTCGACGAACTTCAGGCCCAGCTGTGATGATGACGAACACCTCATCAGCAATCGGTCCGCGTACAGCCAACGGCAAAAGACCACACACGTTCTGAAGACTTTGTGGAAGCGCGTCCGCGACGTTCCCCAGCCAGCTGTACTTGGTGGTGATGTACAGCTCAGACCGTGCCAGGCCGCTCTCTCGGATAACATCACCGACGAACTCTGTGTCCCCCGTCAGACTCGGACCGCATGCAGCTGAGGTGGACGGTACCTTCGGTGCCGTAGTCTAATTTGAACCAATGGCACGTCAGCGGGCTGTTGGGGCTTGAGAGGATTGTAACGCACACTGAGCGGTGTCCACATGCCAGAAGCCCGACTCGAGGGCCTGCGCGACGAGACGCGTCACGTCCGTGAACTTGTACACGCTGCCCGTGCCTACGACGCACGTGTCATCCCAGCCCGCCCAGCTTCTCCCACGAGCACTCACCGAAAGCGATGGCCGGTATCTAGGCGTGCGGACATGCTTGTCAGACGTCGCAAGGGCCAGAGAAAGAGTGACCGACCTCCTTGCCGTCGTTGAGAGGGATCGTCTCAAAAGTCATCTTCGAGGAAAGTGGACGAAAGCGAGCGCGAAGCGATCAGGCTTATAAACATTCTTGCGAGATGAGCGCGAGGTATTGGGCAATATGGCGCTGTCCATGCTGTCATGCTAGAAAGTCATAGCCACTTCTCGGCACAGCCCCTCTCCCTATCTCGCTGCGAGTGTATATTTATACTCGCAAGCTTGCTGCCTAGTGGACGGCAGTGACCCAAACACCCAGCCTAGTCCGACTCTCGTTGACCTTCGTGCGTCCCGATCGTATCCATGACCAGATCTCATCTCGCTCGGAACCAACCCGCTGTCCGATATGCGTCAAGAAATCGCTAATATGTACGTATAGTCGCGCATTCTCCCCATCCTTATGCCCCCCTACTGGCGAGTCATGTCGTACGACGAACGCCGCCGTGCCTAGGCGCCATACGCTGTCTCATCAGCGATTTTGACTCCAAAGGAGAGGGGAAACTAAGCGCAGGTGCAACACAATCGAGTTTGTGACAATCGAGATAACCTCGGATGGATGCCCCAGTGGAGGACGATGGGAACCCCGATTATGGGTAGGAGGTTTAGAGCACATTCGGATGACTCATCGCTTCGCTGGCGAAACGTAGGTTACAGGACTGTTGATTGGAAAGTTGGTCCTCCGAGTCTGAGCTTGAAGCCATCAGTCACACCACATGGTTTCAGGTCACAACTGGCCCTATCCACTCCTCCTCGGCAGCGGCAGAGTTGTCTCCATTCAGACCGGAATTAGACTTGTACACTCCAAGCCCGGAATAGCGAGGATGCCTATCATCAAGAGGCTTGACTGAGTTCAGCTCGACAACCAAGACATCCATCTCGACTTCTTGCTGCGTTGCACCTTGCGGTTGACGGCCTGTCTGCGCTCCGCATCGGCCAACAAGATCCTCTCCATGATCTCCATCTCCCGTTGCTTCATCTCCGCCTCACTCAGCACACCCTGCCCGCCGTCCATCTCCGTGTCTCTGTCCGCCGACGACTCGTAGCTGCCGTCCTTTATCCCCGCCACGACGAAAAACGCGTCGATCTTCCCGCGGTACCACTCGCCGTGGCGCATGCCGTCCCTCCATTCCAGTGGCAAATACGCGTAGCCGCACAGCGCGCCCATCAGCGCGCCCGCAACGGCACCATTGGTGTCCGCATCCCCGCCGTGCATGACGAGCGTTGTCATCGCCGAGCGGAATGTGTCCTGCCGCGTCATCACGCGCCGCAGACACCACAGCGCGGAACCGAGGCATTTGTACACGTATCCCATCGTCCGGTCGCACAGCACCATGCCGGACAGCGAGGAAGTAGGATCCGAAGGGTAGTACACGTATCGGTCAAACTCGGTGCGGTCCAGGGGATCGACGAAGATCGCAGAGACGTGGGTCCACGCCCGCTCGATGAGCTGGTCGATGTGCTCCAGTGCCGTTATCTCGCCACGGCAGAGGCCACGGATGAGTCCGCAAACGATGGCGACGGAGACAGCGCAGCGAGGATCGGCATGGGTGACCTCGCCCATCCGTATCGCTGTGGCGAATGTCTCCGGCTCGGACGCGTTAATGCAGATGACGCCAACCGGCGCGGTGCGCATGAGCGATCCGTTGGGGGCGACGCTGCGGCCCGACTTTTCCCAGTGCGAGAGCGCTGTGCCCACTGGGTCGGAGAGGAAAGAGGGCGCGTGAACGACGCTTCCGACGGTGCCTGCGCTCGATAGTTAGCTGGAGGAAGGACGGAGGAAGGAAGCGGCAACTCACGTCCGAGACCCATGGGAAGCCGGTTCAGCACACGCAGGCCTTGGTTGCACCTGCCACTCAATGAGCTCCGTTTCGTCGTATGGCGAAAGCATCCAACTTACCACGAGTGCAGTCTTGTCGCAAAGTCCCCAGGAGCGAGCTCGCGAGTGCGCAGATACGACAGGATGATGAGTATCGCGTGGTCCGTATCATCCGTCCACGCGCGCTGTGCTGCTGATCAGTCGTTTGCCCTCGCCCATCTGCCCGGACTTGCGCTTTCGAATCGACCTGTGACACATAAGAGACTGTTGTCCTTTCCATCTGCACACGTAGAGCATACATCTATGGCTGTCTTGATGCAGTGGTGTTTCTGGCTCCACGAGGGTGAAAGCAGGCCGTTCAGAGCCGTATGCAGCGACTGCCATGGCTGGTGTCATGAATTCTACAATACTGGTCAGTTCGAGGGGAAGGATCTGTGCCGATCTCGCGCACCGGTGTATATCCCGATAGCATCTCCCAATGCAGAACCAAAGATGGCTCCCATGGCGCGGTCTTGCATCTGGGCAGAGTTCATCGTTTTGGTGAGAGATTGAAGATGTCCAACCCGTTGCCAAGAACATGAGTCTGTTTATATCGTGTCTCGGGGAAGGCAGTGCACTGGACCCCTGATGCTGTGAACTGACGTCAACACGTCCTTGACACGTCGAGTCGAGGTTCACAGCTAATAGCGAGGGCTTGATTGCCTGCACTCCTGGAATCAGCCGGTCGAATGACGGATGCGTTTTTCGCGACGAACCTCTATCTGAAATCGAAGCTAGCCGCACTCTTGTTGTCAGACACGACAGGCCTCCCTCGGCCCTCACTCCCCACATAGAGCTGGTCGAAAGAGTTGTTTCAAGGGGAACATCGTGCAGTGGCCTCAAATGATATCCCCAGCACTGAGCTTCGCTTCATCGGTCGCATGGCAGGCTTATGGAAAACGCCAGGCAGTCGGACGTTCGCTATTGTCGAGGCAGAATTGGACAGGAAGGCATTAATGGTGATGTCCTTCGATCTCAAGTTTGGGATGGGGTTCAGTAATGGGAGGAGTCAATACGTGGCTGGCAGCAGTGGATGGGGTCTTTAAAGGATGATTCTGAGGACACGTGACTCCCATCATGAAGCCTTTCCCAGGGACACGTGCCTCGATGTTCAATTTTGCAAATTCAACGATAGCATGTGGAGCAAGATTGAACAGTGACGTTTATCTCGCAGCGAATAAAAGGATTGCAGAAGCAAAATATGAATTAATTCTCGAATAAGTCAGGCGACATGTATCGGTGTTCAGGCCGCGTGAGAAGTAATCGAGGCCGGAAGCGCGTTATAGATAGGGCACAGCTGGTTCCATGCAGACGGCGGGATCAGCTCCGACTTCCAGTCGGCCACGTCCTCGGCCATCACGACGGCAAAACCAGCTTCCAGGTGCCAGTCGATGTGGCAGTGGAGAAACCACGCTGTGTTAAATTCGTCATCAGTTCGAATGAGGTGTAAATTGAGACCCACGTCCGCGGTTGTCCGTGAAGAAACGGATCGTCACATTGTCGCCTGTGGTTCCGATGTTGACGACGTCACGGCGGGCGGGGTTGACGTAGTTGTACGTGCTGCTTCCGGCCGAGCGGATCACATCGAAGGCATGACCGTGCAAATGGAACGGGTGCTAGAGATTCACATCATCGTTCATGGCATGAGTCTCCACAGTTAAGCGAAGAGAGGCCCACTCACGCCACCGCCTACCACGCCCCCCGCAAGCGTGATTTCCACGGACGCAAAGTGCGGAAGTGTGTACACCGAGCCCTTGGGGAGCAGTGACTGGGCGCTCTGTGCGCCAGACAGAATCTGGAGCAGCACTGGAACCGTCGGCGGAACAAAGGAGGCGCCGTTGATCTTGAATCTGAACGTCGTCTGTGTGATCATCAGCAATCAAGCTGACATATCATACGTCGAGGCAGCGCACAAAATCGAATGCCAAAGCCAGATTGAGCTGCACATCCGCACCACCGATGAATGGGCGACCAGGCGCACCGGGGTTCACGAGGGGGTGGAGATTGACTTCGTTAACCAGTCCGTTGACCGACTTGTCCTGCGAGGTCCTGGGCTCTGAAAAGCTCGCTCCAACGTCTAGGAAGAAAGTTTAATAAGAATGCAGCGGGAGAATCCAAACATGCGAACTCACAGCGAAGGATCGCAGAGTTGATTCCCCCGGCGAAACCCGTGGGACCGGTGTTCGGGTTCGCACGAATCCAGTAGTTCCCGATGGGCTGGTTGGCGGACAGGATGAACGAATATCGTTGAGCTGAAGACGTTCAGGGATTGTTCGCCGGCGCACAAGGCTGAAGCGAAGCTGACCTGCGTAGATTTGGATGGAGTCGACGGTCAACGGCTGGTGGAGGATCCCGTCAGCCTCGATGATGGTGAGATTCTTATGGCCGTCGATTTGGAACACATAGTTGGAGTCACAGGCTGTATTGACCAAACGAAATCGGTAACGTAAGCCCTGTATGACATTGATGACAGCCAGAGTCGTGTTTGAGACTGTGGCAGCGGTACGTCCAAGCCCGTTGATCAGCACGGAAGACGGGGTACTAACCATTTGAGGCATCAGAACCCACTGTGTGATTGGAGTATGCTGGTGCACTTACCCCACACCGACTACGGTCTCAGCAAAGGCGCTGTACCAGTCAGCCAGAGTGATGACCGTGGTCTCGTCGTCGATATCGTATAGGCCACGGTAAGGGTCCAGGAGATCGTAGATGACCATTGCTCCACGCAAGCCATCACAGTACTGTGTAGCAAGGTGGGAGTGATACCAAAACGTCCTGGAACAGAAAAGATCAGATGCGACAAAAATGTGGATCTGAAGTATCCCACCCCGACTGCTGGGAGGTAAAGTCATAGGTGAAAGAGTTTCCAGGAGAGATCGGACACTGATTGATGAACGAGGGCCCGTCCATGTAGTTGGTCCCGTTCTGGAACAATCCGTGCCAATGCTATGCGGAAAATGATAATAAACCGCCGGGTCGAGCAAATCGCCGGGCCAGCTCACGATAGACGTCGGCTCGAGCATGCGGTTATCCTGCTGCTGATCGATGACTGTGAGCAGGAAGTTATCCCCGACGAGGCCTGTGACGAGTGGGCCGGGGAACGTCCCCCCGGCCAGCACGGCGGCACGAGGGATACCGTCCGGGGCGATGGTCGCATTGGCCACCACCAGTAGACCAATAGGTCCAATCGTGAGACCAGAGGTCATTCGAGCGATCGCCACCAGAGAAAGAAGCGCTCGGGAGGAGAACATCGCACGATGTATTTCTAAGCAGCGAAACACTGGTTCGAGTTTCCCCAGTCTCTCTATGGATCGCATTTATACGGTTTCGACAGTGAGGCCATCAAAATCTATACATACGTTTCCCCGTAGGAAGGCGGAAATCACACCACCACCTGGATGTCGCCTGGATTCCGCTTCATGGGAAATGATGACGAAGGAGAGCTGTCGTAAATATCAGAGCAGCGCTAGGAACAACTGAGACTGCCGAAGGGGGCAACTTCAGCCCTAGGAGAGCAGTCCATCTGCTCCTGGCAGACTTTGAAACTTCGCAAATGACACAACACTCGCCGTCTCGTGGTCATGGACATGACCTGGTTCCCCATTCCGCCTGTTCGCAGCCCTTCATTTCCTCCGCAATGATATCCGAGAACTATCATGGACCGCTGTTATTCGCCGCTGAGCCGACATCGTAAAATTTCCAGCCCAGAGGCAGGAACGCCGCCCGTTACGTTTGCGCCGCCGGCGCTGACGCAATGTGGGCCGTGCGGGTCAACCAGACGTGGTAGCAGGATAGCGCTCGGCTGACGGGACATGGCTCTGTGGGGCGCTCTGACGTTACGAATTCCCAATCTGATCGAGAATTACTGGGGATCGCATCTGGGTCGAGGTTGCAAGTGCATGGCAGAATCGTGGCCCGGCAGGATCCGGAAGACGATGGCAATCACCACTCCCTGCACTGCCACTTGTTCCTGTTTAGGTCCGGCGGGCATGAAGACCGAAGAAATTATTGTTTGGGTGAAGCACATGCCATGTTTGGGCTTCTTTAGTGAATAACTGTCAATTAAGCAACTTCTGGGAGGTTTCTTTTTCCGAAGTGGGTTCGATTCCGCCGCTTGCAACTCGGGTGCCCGCTCAGAACGCGATTCTCGGACCCCAACTATACATTGTCGGCCAGCGCTGCTCCAAATGAGTGGATAGAACGTTGTCTCCACTCTTTGAACTTGGCCATGTCATTCAACGGAGTCCATTCTCGCAGTTCGGCAGGAGCTACGGGGTCATGGACATCGATTTTACGAGCACCTGAGGGCGGTATTTGCCGCCCGACAGTTTTAACGTTCGCAGACACAGGCGAACAAAGCGTGTTTTGTTCTCCCACCGGCTCGAAAAGATAGATCTAGAATACGCTCGCCTATATCGAAGGTGTCTATTTGTCCTCGTCGAATACTGAGGGATTACCGGGTTGAAAAACGAAGGTCTCCTGAATACTGTCCGTCTCATGCTGAAAGCCATACAATCTGCTCACTTTGAGGAAATACCCGCGGCTCCGCGCTTGAATGTTCTCTGTCCAGCTCAGAGAAAGCACGTGTAGGCTAATTGAAAATCCGACCTAAATCAGGCCACCACTTGCGAAATGACAAACATCGTTGCCCGCTCCAATATTTGCATTATAAGAGGAAGAACAATCCTACTCACGATCTCCGAAGAGTCTTGATCGCAGCGGTACCGTATAACCGCGCACGTGTAGTGTTGTGCGGACCGAGGTCGGGCCAAAATCTTCGGGGGCTATCCGGCTTGCCAGGACCTAGGCTTTGTAGACCTTAGAGTCCGCCCATACCCGAGCCCTAGAACAGGGTCGTAACCCAGGCTGTCTCGGGCTTGAGCCCAGGACTAGCTTGCCAAAAAAAAGTTTGGGTGCATCTCAGGGCTACCGGAATAGCTCTCATATGCACTGATGAAACGGAGTCGAGAGAGTTTGAAGTTGGTCGGACAGGGATTATGTATTCATCAGATCAATCACAGAAAATTTCAGGTGTATCGTGATGGACTGTCCAACTCCAATAAAGTCCAATCTCACCACTGCCTGTGGATAAATGGTGAGAATTGCATTGATTCAACACAGCTAATTCGATTACATTTAAATAAAAGCATATCCCCGGAGATCATGACAAAAATTCAACGACATTTGACCAATTTCAAGATAAACATATGAGAAGTGTTCAAGCAGCATGAGAGGTGATCGAGGCCGGAAGCGCGTTGTAGATAGGACACAATTGGTTCCACTCCGAAGTCGGGATCAGCTGCGACTGCCAGTCGGCAACGTCCTCGGCCATCACGACTGCGAAACCGGCTTCCAAGTGCCAGTCGATGTGGCAGTGGAGGAACCACGCTGGTTGAATCAATGATCAGCCGTCCGAACACGTGGTCAATTGAGTGAGACTCACGTCCGCGGTTGTCCGTGAAGAACCGGATCGTGACATTGTCACCCGCGACTCCGATGTTCACGACATCACGGCGGGCAGGGTTGACGTAGTTGTACGTGGTGCTTCCAGCAGCGCGGATGACGTCAAAAGCGTGTCCGTGCAAATGGAACGGATGCTGTATATTCTGTGAGCTTCAAGACTCTGAGCCTCGGCGGAACAAACTGACACCACCACCAGGCGCGCCTCCTGCGAGGGTGATTTCCACCGTCGCAAAGTGTGGGAGCGCGTAGACCGAGCCAGTGGGTAGCAGCGACTGTGCGTTTTGTGCGCCAGACAAAATCTGGAGCAGGACAGGGACAGTGGGCGGAACGAATGCTACGCCGTTGATCGTGAATTTCCCTGTTGCCTGGGAAATGGATGATAAGCGATCGAACCTGAAAGATTAGAATCTTCGTCATAATGCGTACCGCATTACGTGCCAAAACCAAATTCAACTGGACATCAGCGCCACCAATGAATGCGCCACCGGGAGCACCAGGGTTGACTAAGGGATGCAAATTGACCTCGTTGATCAACCCGTTGACCGAGGTGTCTTGCGAAGTCGTGGGCTCAGACGTGCTCGCGCCTTCGTCTGGAAGTTTGATGCTCAGTAGGGAGAATATGGGCATCGCATCCCTTGTAAGACACGGACATACAGCGGAGAATCGCAGAGTTGATACCCCCGATGAAACCAGTGGGACCGTTGTTCGGGTTCGCGCGAATCCAGTAGTTGTTGACAGCTTGGTCAGCAGTCATGATGAACGAATACCGTTGGGCTTGAGGGCATGTCAGTCATCGTTTGCTTGAGCTCAGTGACCACCCACCCGCATAGATCTGAATCGAGTCGACGCTCAATGGCTCGTGGAGGATACCGTCTGCCTCGATGATGGTGAGATTCTTGTGGCCGTCGATTTGGAATACGTAGTTCGAGTCGCAAGCGGTGTTCACCAGACGGAAGCGGTAGCGCAAGCCTTGCTTGACGTTGATCACAGCCAGGGTCGTGTTCGATAGTGTAGCAGCAGTGCGTCCAAGACCGTTGATGAGCATGGAAGATGGCGTTCTGCACAGTTGGACTGTCATGATCTCATCGCATCATTCGGAACAGCTACCACTCACGCAGCACCCGTCACGGTCTCAGCGAAAACGTTGTACCAGTCGGCGAGGTTGATGACCGTGGACTCGTCGTCGACGTCGTACTCTGAAAGGTATGCGTCGTTGGGATCGTAGATGACCATCGCGCCACGCAGACCATCGCAGTATTGAGTAGCAAGGTGCGAGTGATACCAGAACGTTCTGAATCGAACACAGTCAGAATAGAGCCCAAACTCGCGCAAGAAAATGCTCACCCAGATTGTTGGGAAGTGAAATCATATGTGAACGAGTTCCCGGGCGAGATAGGACACTGATTGATGAAAGACGGCCCGTCCATGTAGTTGGTTCCGTTTTGAAACAGTCCATGCCAGTGCTGAGCAAGACACGGTCAGCAAGCGGGCCGATTAGACGAACATGAGTCCAGCGGTCAAGCTCACAATTGACGTGGGCTCGAGCATGCGGTTGTCCTGCTGCTGATCGACGACCGTGAGCTGGAAGTTGTCGCCAATGTTTCCTGTGACGAGCGGGCCAGGGAAAGTTCCTCCAGCGAGCACAGCGGCGCGGGGTATACCGTCGGGAGCGATGGTTTTGTTGGCCACTACGAAGGAGCCAATAGGCCCGACCGTAACAGCGGAGGCGATTCTCGCTGCCACAGCAAGAAAAACGAACCTTTGGAAGGAGAACATGAGAGTAAGAGAGATTTTTAGCCAAGTAACACAGGGGACTGGTGTTGGTTGTCTCCAGTCAGTTTGAGTGCAGCATTTATACCGTCTCTAGACAGTGCAATCATCACACCGTGAGATGGAATCCGTCCTTTGCTGCAAACCCGGGACCGGTCTTGACAACCTTGCACACGGCTGCCTGAACAGTGATGATGACTGAGAGGGAAGTGATCCTGATTCGAGGAAGGGCAGAACGAACAGGACATTTCGAAGGAGGCAATTTCAATTGCGAAGCAAGGCTCATGTGCGATTGACGGTCTGAAACTGAGCGGATCAGAATCAGTTCGAAAAAGAATAAAACCTACATTGTTACCGTCGAAGGGCAATGAAACTGGCTTGCTCGCGCAACCTGGCCATTTAGATACATTTATTTCTCTCCTTCTGATCTCAAGGTTCCCATCCATCTTCTCTTGGAGGCCAAGTCGAAAATGGAGAACGGGGAGGGCACAGAGCCATACGGATTGGTTTGAGCGCATGAAGATTCTGATGATTAACGTCACCAATCAGTTCTGAGAACTTGGCAGCCACCAACCCCGCAGCAAGAGACGTCATCTAGCCGAGCTATCGGATTCATCAGCTTGTAGATTTTCACAATCGATCTCAGCCGAAATTATGTTTTCCAGGAGAGTGAAATCAAAGTGTGTAGAATTCGTGCCGAGTTGTCGATGGTTTCAGAACTCTTCTTGAGTTGAGCCTTGTAAATCAACGATAGTCATGAAATTGAAACCGACATTGCTGCGTGTCTAATCTCTGACCTGTTGTGTGAAGCGAGCTGCGAAATGTCCCCGGTCACAGAGGCATATGTCCCTCCGGAATAGAGTAACACTTGGTCCAAAAACGTCATTCTCCACTCCGCAGAATAGAGAAAAGCTGGTTCGGGCTTTTTCAGGCCCTCCGAAAATAGAGTAAATTCGCTTTCGGGCCAGCAATCCTTGTGTGGAATACCTCCGGAACGCTGGAGAATCTGATAATGTCGAACTTTCCAGGCCGGCTTCCATTCAGAAGTGCCCCTCGGGTCTCAAAGACGAGAATTTCGCTGAATCGCTCATTAAAACTGATTATGAGGGTATCTAGACATATATCTGGGCCCACCGAACCCTAATCCTGCCCCCAAAAATGTATTATCCCCCTCCGAAAACGGAGCAAAGTCAGTGTCGTTGCACAAAACTTGGCGTAAACCTGAGTCGGGCCGCGGAGGGACAGATATCTGAGTGACCGGGGAGCTGCGGCGAAGAGGACCGCCAAGCCTCTTGATGAATTCCACATGGACTCGATCAGCTTCTTGTGTGAGTCCCTGTCCAAAGAGCAATTTCACGAGCTTCCTTGTCCTCCGGGTTTCATTCTACCGCCTGGAAAGACGGGACGCGATTGTCGGTGCCGAGGGAGCGAACGAAAATACACTCGAGAGCTTCTCGTCTTCCTGATTGTGGTGCAATGAACGTCGGTTCTACTGAACGAGCTCATAAGATCATCCGCCACGAGCCTATTCTCGTTGTCGGCTTAACAGCGACCGGTGCAGGATCAGATACTCTTGTTTCATGGGTGCTGCGGAGGATGTTCTCGAAGACGGAATTCTGATACACTCATCATCTCAGCGTCTTCAGTTCCGCGACTCACTCAAGTCGATGGGTGCAAACCCCGATCATCGTTGTCCGAACACGTCTTTCGGAGCATGTTCCAAGTTTAGACTGTACGGTAAAGTTTATGAAGTTGCAGAGAGTGGCTGCTGCGGTGTGAGCCCACGAGTCACAACAACGCATACCCGCGCGGGGTGCGTAAGTCGACCAATCGCTCGCCTGCAAAACTTACATCACTGTGCGTGTCAGTGTCGCGAGAGACGGCTGAGAAAGATCATGAGGCTGATCATCAAGGAAGATCCTATACCGCCGCAGCACGCTAAAACCGCTCGCGGCAATTCTCCAGCAACTCCGTGGTTCCGAGAACCGCAGCATCAGAAGTGGCGCGGATCTCACTGCTATTGGGCCGGCTATCTCACGGCCCGCGACTCGGTACCGGAGCTGCTGATCGGTAACAGACATTTGCAGGGGAAGTCCCCCAGCTGAAAGTTGAACAATCAATTGTGGCGAGGGTTTCGGGTGCTCAAAGAGCACCGGTGGTGGTAATCTCCGCCGGTGTCTGATTGTGTCTCTGGTTTGCAGCTGGCACATGGGCTATCAACGATTTAAAAAAACTGCCGGCCCAGATGCGCCGCGCCGCGCCATACAGTTTGATTGAGCGCTCACCGGACAAAGCCAGTGTTGAGTTGGTCGGTTGGCAACAACTCTACGATCTCGTTCTTACTACCCAATGAGCCAAGTTCGGGTGTTTTAGACGCGACTGAGACAACTACACCTAAGGAACATCCGCCGCGGAGGGTACCCCCCCTCCTAGGGGGGTAAAATCGACCCATTTTGACCCCCTAGTAGGGGGGGGTACCCTCCGCACTTTTGGCCATCCTCCGCACCAAAGCTCCGCAAATGGGTGCCAACCATCCGCATCTTGCCCTATAAGCAGCTGCAGATCCCTCTGCAACTTGCCCTAAACAAGCTGCGGATCCATCTGCACCCAGCTCTCCCCGTGATCATTGTGATGCCATCACACTGGTTGTGTGCAGGCTGTATCATGTGACTCTGATCCAGCGAGGAGCCCTCCGCATTTTTTGTTCTTTCATTATTTCATTTCTAGCCTCTATGCATTGCTCCACTGTAGACTTAAGCCTTCTGTAGCAGATGTATGTGCTCCCTGATGATCCCAGCTCCTCCAAGCTCCTCTGTGTGCAGCAAACAATGAATGGCAATTGAATCAATTCAGTGCTGCAGCTGTGCAGATGCTCTGCATTGATTCTGGATTGCTGAAATGGTTGCTCAAAAGCTTATTTATGTAAAACGAGCTTCTAAAAGGCTTCCAGGCTCCTTAGAACACAGATAGGTCTCTCCTGTGTACACAGCAGCTTAAAAGCATGCAGTGCGGATGCCTCTGCTGCATGCTGTCCTGGGCCAGTTTTGGGCAGGTCCTGCTGAGCACGGGGTCTGTGGACTGCTCAACCTGCACAGCATTGCCTGCAATGGTCAGTGCATCCATCCAGGCACCCCCTGTGTCCACAGCAGCTTGAAAGTGTGCAGTGTGGATGCATCTGCTGCATGCTGTTCTGGGCTAGATTGGGGCAGGCCCTGCTTAGCATGAGCTCTTTGCACTGTTCAACTCATACAATATTGCCTACTATCATTAGTACACACAGCCAGGCTCCTCCTGCATGTGCAGCAGCTAAAAAGCGTGCAATGCAGAGGCATCTGCCACCTGCTTTCCAGGATCAGATTAGGGCATTGGGGCAGGTCCTGCTCAGCATAGGTTATGCAGACTGTTCAACCTGTACACTGTTGCCTGCCATGGTCGGTGCATGCACAATGGCCCTTCCTGCATTGTCAGCAGCTTGAAAGCATGCAGCGCAGATACATCCGCAGCCTGCTTCTCTAGGTCGGATCAGGGCATCAATGGTATTTGAACCATCCGCACAAGCATCCGCAGCAGCTAATAAGATGGTTGCAGATGCATCCGCAGATATTTTCAGAGATACAGCTGCTCAATATGGCCTCAATGGGGGTCCTCTGTCTCTGCAGCATGGATCTAAGACATCTCATTTGCTACCTGCTCACCCATAGTGCTATCAACACTAGGAAATTTATAGGTCCTAGGTAGGATTTTATATTCTTTGCACCATAATTGTTGCTTATACACAGTTTGGATAGGCTCATCTGTCCCACCAAGGAGTCAAAACATATTAGAGATAAGTAAGAAGCTAGTAGATACCTGACCTAGAAAGAGCCTATCTGTACAATAAAAAAAAAGTGGATTGAGCATAGGTCATATTTCAAGCTCTACACATTCATACATGCCTTAAAATTCAAGGACCACAACTGTAAAGCACACTATCCAATGTTTCAAGCTCAAAGAAGTTGCTTGGACCAAAAATATTTTCGATTTTGGTCAATGAGCAAGGATAGCTTGGTACTACCATAGGAAACTCTGTTCAGGTCATGGCACTTTTATACATGACAAAAAAAGTTCCTTCAGAGAGCTGAATTGATTTCATATTCGAGATGGGGCATATCTGAATAGCATCTGAACAAATTCTGAGCAGGATCGCAGCATCATAGCCCTCTCAGGAACAAAATATTGGAAAGTCAACCTTCGATTTTACCCCCCTAGGAGGGGGGGTACCCTCCGCGGCGGATGTTCCTTAGGTGGACAACTATTGGTGCCTGGTCGCTGCAAGCACGTCATTGACTTCGCGATTCAGATCAGAGAGAGCTTTCAGATATGAGGTATTTGGACGTTATTTTGATCCCAATCCATCATGCCAGCTAGTGCTGTCCAGATACAGATACGATACAAATTTGCCATATCGTATTTTTATTGTATCGTATTAAGGGTTCTCAGGACATATTATATCTGTAATGTATCATATTGTATTTATCGCGGTGTATCAGATTATATCTATGATATATCACGATATCTTTACTGTCAGTTTATTTACTGTGCATACGAATAAAATCAGTGTAATGGAGACCCTCATTCAGCCCAGACTTGATCCATTCCTTTGTACTGACACTCATGGCAATCTTCTCGGGAGTCATAGACATCCGAGACTCCTTCAGAGTGTGACGGAGGCTCAAAAAGAGGCGTTCAACAGAGATACTGACTCCGGGAATGCCGAGGATATCACGCGCAGCACGCGCAAGACCTTTGAGTGTAACGGCCTGGTCCTGAAAACTGGTCAGAGATGACATCCAGGGCAACTGATGATGAGCTCAATTACCTTCCACCATCCGAGTGGATCATCAAACATGTCCGCGACAGGTGAGATGCCTCCGAAATAAAGCTCTATCTCTGCACTGGCATCAAGTGAAGCGACACCTCCAGTCCTGGAGCCCATGGTTGCTGCCAGACCGAAGACACTGCGGGTAGGAGCAGCCTCTGCAACCAAAGCCGTATCAGAGGTTGGAATCTCTGCCAGATACCTCTGTACAATTTCGACGAGGATCTTTTTCGCTCTGTTGGCAACACTGGGGTCCCAATTGCTGTTTTGGAAGAAGCGGAGACGTAACGCAGGGTGCAAAACTGACAAGCAATCAGAGGCGGAAACAGAGACAGTATCCCACTTACGGGTTGCCAACATTGGGTAATCACCTTCGAGAGCTTTGTTGATGTATTTTGTCGCCATTTTTGAGCCAGCGAGGAGAGCAGCGGAGAGGTTGGGAATAGAACAAAGTTCCTTCGACTTTGCCTCAAGATCGGTCTCCATCAGCTTATAAAACGGAAGAACTTTCGGGAGGGTTGGGACCGTTTTGAGAGAGAACTCTTTGGTGATGAGCTCGAGAATCTGAGTATAAGTCAGCTCAGAGCTCTCGCACAACTATAACGTACCTCAAGAGCTTTGATTAGTTGTTCAACAAACTCCCAGTCGGTGGAGTCCTGTAACGGAAGCGTCTAGACTGAGATGAGTTCCGCTACAAGGAGGAGGGGGGAGACGACAGTGAGAGGGATAAGCACTAGATTGACCAAGGAAAAAGGGAAAAAAAGGAGCTATCTACTTATATAGGGTGATCGGCGGTCAAAGCCAGCCGATCGAGGACTCAGTCTGAGAGATAAATCACATGACCTCTGTAACGGGACGTTCCCGCTACATACGCCCTCCAGCTCAACGCTGGCGGTGAGCTCACAGTCCATTAAAAATTCTCTTACCAGTTCAATAACAAGTCCGAGATGGCGTCGAATCCATCCACGGAAGTAAATGTCAATTAAATCAGTCAAGTGTCAATCAGAAAAAATCAATCAATGTCAATCACACGTCATTCTTGTATCCGCCCGCCCTCCTCGACGACTGACGGACTTCATTCATCATCAAACGATTCTTTCACAGTTTCAGTGGTCTCAGCAAGCGAGATATCGATTGCGTGTGAAGCAATACCCGGCGGTTTCCCGGGATTCTCCGACTTCATTCCACTCACATCGGGGCAGTTTCGAGACAAGTGCCCGCGTTCTCCACACTCGAAGCAGCGTCCCTCGCTCAGGTACGTAGCTCGAGTCTTGGCAGACAACTTTTTGCCGTCACGCGTCACGTAATCCCATGTCTTTTCGTGCTGGTTCTTCTTTGGAGTTTCGACAGCAGCACTTGACACCGATAGAGCTCGCCCTCCGTTGCGGCGCTTCTCGTTTGAATCCGTAGCCAAGTTTTCTTTCTTCCACTTGGGCTGAGGTTTCGGCGCCTCAGTCTCATCACTGTCGGCATCCTCAAGGTCAAGATTCACGATTACCTCAGCAGCTTCAGCACCGCGAGTAACCTCATCCCAAGTCGACATTTCGGGATCCAAATTCGCGCGGAACATTTCCTTGCGAATCGACGTCTTCAAGCTGCGACAAAACATCACGACTTTCTCCTGGTTTGCTTCCAGACCAATCGTATTGAAGATCTGCTCCCACTCGGCCTTATGGACCAATACAGATTTGTCATCTTGCTTGCACGCGTTTAACTTCGACCGCTGTTTCTCACGGAAGTTCACAGGGAAACAGAAGTTGAATAGACCCCAGAAGAAGTCTGATAACGTCCAGGTATGTTCATCATTTTCCACGCGACTGTTATAGAACTCTCGTGCATGGCCAGACATGAAATACGACAAATAGAACGCTCGTTCATCAGCGGGGACGCGGCCGAGCTTTAGGTAAGCTGTTCCCTCTTTCACAAATCGGTGGAACGCTACCGCATTAGGAGATCCGTCGTACTCCTTCGGCGGAATTGGCTTCAAGATCATTTTCGGTTCGTTTACTGAGACGTTCACAGTCTCTCCTTGCCTGGAACGACGTGGCACTGGTGTCGGGCTCCGACTTCCGACATCCGAGGGATTGCTGGACGGCGGCTCGGATGGAGGGGGTCCGCCAAAGCTATCGACGTTGCGCAACGCACGCTCAATGAAGCTTCCTGCCCCGGTACGAGTTGCAGGAGTCCTCTCACGTGCGTCTGTCTGGGTGTGCGTCGGCGGCACACCAATGCTGATATGACGGTCGATGCTGTTCTTCACAGCGGTCTGGGCCTGGGACAAGCTTTCACCTTGCTTGTTCTCGGCATTCAGCATCTTAACGGGCGTCGAGGCCCGAGATTCCGTCACAGCTCTATGCAGGCTGTCAATTTGGCGCTGCAAGTCCACAAAATGTTCTTCAACGCCCTGGTCATCGTGCCCAGAGGCGTTTACACTATGCATCTTCAAATTCCGCTCCGACAAGATGGTGGTCGGAGATCTGCGGCTGTCATGCCGAACCGAGACAGACGGCGGCAAGTAACTGTCCTCGTGCTTCATGCGTCTGATCTCATCAAAATTCGCGAACGCAGCACGCTGAGTGTCAAGATCATGCTCAGAGAATCGGTCCGACAGACCTCCCCAGTTACGAGGATCAGGACCCTTGTCCTTCGAAGGGTATGATGGACCAGTACCCGATGGGAAGGCAGGACGGGCCCCGACTGGGGACAGGTAGGTCGACTCAAACATGGGAGGGAAGGACGAAGACATCGCAGGGAACGTCTCACCAGTCACTAATTGTTCATTAAAGTTGGTAATTCCATGATCTAAACGAGCGAAATCGATACCATCGTACGGATCCTGTTCACTGCGCTGTGAACTAAGATCACGATCTGCAGCCGCAGCTAAAGCTTCCTGCGCAATAGCCTGGTGGCGACGCGCAAAGCTTACCAATTCCGTGACGCTCATGCCTTGCATGGCGCGCGACATGGTTGTGGAAGTCTGTGAAGCGACGGTTTCTCGGTCGCTGACAGATTGATCCTGACTAACCAATGAACGAATCACCGGAACGGTGGATCCACTGTGCTGATGAGCTTCGAACTGGCTCTCAGCAGCAGTATCCAAATCGATCAAGGAGTTCTCTCGTCCATAGGACGGCTTCTCCGGCAGAGCCGGGCTGTCTCGTGCCAACTGGGATAAACCCACTCGCGTCGGCACGGCTGGGGATGCAAACATCCCAGGGAGATGCGAGATTTCAGGGGCTGAGGCTGGAAGGGAAGGATGCCCCTCTAGCTCGGATCGTGGCGTGCCGCTCTGTCTTGAGCGGACACTCAGGGGTCTGGCGGCGTCCGATGCTGTCGGTCGTCCAGTCATGGAGACAGTGTCGGAGGGAGCAAGCACAGTGGGCACATCGGGTTCGAGGTCTGGGTGCCCGCGTCGGGACTTTGGGTGGAATCGGTGGTGCATGCCGCCAGACATCATTTGGGGTCAGGGGTAGTCAGTCGTCGAGCGCCAGTTCGAGGGAGGGAGGGTTCGGCGCAGCGACGAATCTAGCAGGTGGAGCTCTCAAAAATATGTAACGGAAGGGTCTAGACCGAGATGAGTTCCGCTACAAGGAGGAGGGGGGAGACGACAGTGAGAGGGATAAGCACTAGATTGACCAAGGAAAAAGGGAAAAAAAGGAGCTATCTACTTATATAGGGTGATCGGCGGTCAAAGCCAGCCGATCGAGGACTCAGTCTGAGAGATAAATCACATGACCTCTGTAACGGGACGTTCCCGCTACAAGTCCATTCTCCACTTCTTGATTTTGCGTTGGGCTGCCGCGAGTGCCTTTCCAGTGAAGCCATCACCCATGCGCTCCACGAAATAATCAAACACCTAAAAAAATAAGATCAGGATAGCTTGTGCAAGCAAGGACTCACCGCTCGAAGCAGGTAAGCCCGCCGGAGCTCAGCCAAACGGGTGTTCCAGCGAACCCGCATGCTTCGAACAAATACAAGGTGTCGGTACTTCCGTTGTACCTTTCGACGGATGAATCTACGGTCTTTTTTGCGTCGAATTTCCGAACAGAGAATGTAAACGGCTGCTGAATGAATCTAGAAGACTGTCAGCAATGCAGTACAGTGAGAGGTGTGTGAATAATAAAACCTTATCAACTGGCGTGAAAACGCGCTTGTTTTTCGCTTTCTTTGATGCTCCACGGACAGTCCCGTTCTCCTCATCCTCCCATTCCTCTTCGCTTTCGAGCTCAGATGTAGACTCATCCTCTAACTCGATCTGCTCATCCTCGCTATCGCACTCATCCGGATCAACCCCCGCCATAGTCTCCTGCTCCATCACTCGCTGTTCCTCGAGAGCTACTGGATCCTGTTCAATGTCGTAGAAGAGTGGTTCGGAACGGATCTCATCATAGAGATCTTCGACCTCGGGGGCCACACAGAGTCCAAGAACGGAGTCGATTTTTCTGTCAGGATATCAATGATAAAATCAGTGGACATGGAAACACATACTGAGCAACAAGGTTTGTTACGTGACCCCCACATCCGATCTGGAAATTCCGGGTCTCCAAGGACATGGTAAAATCCGGAAGGGCCTTGCAGCAACGACGAACAACTTCCTCGTTCATGGGACCGTTGCTTGACGCATTGTTGGCCGCGGAAGCAACTGTAAGTAGCCGTGAAGTGAGGATACAACTCCAGGCTGACTCGACTCACTCATTTTGGTCACAATCCCGGCACGGTGAAGGTGTTTGTAGATTAGTCGGCCGACGGTCTTCCCCGAATGATCGCCATTGAGTGGGATCAGATCCAGTACATATTCGTGGCGGACCCAGTCCTTATCGATGAAGGACACAACAATACCGCAAAATGAATGGACCATTCCCCGTGTTGTCACAATGTCGGAAGCAATGCTGATTTGTGAATCGTTTTCCTGAGGAATAAATTAGAACTTGTAACGAAGCAAAAAAAAAATAGAACCTATACCTGCAGCATGAGATGTAATTTTTTCGCCAAGGCTTTATGAAGCGATTCGACATCACGGCTGATAGTTTGATGAGAGATTGTGGCCGGAATATTCTCAGGAAGTATGTATTCAAGTAAGCGCTGCATGCCGGGCTTCTCGGTGAAAGAATAGACCATGTCGTCAGTGACAGCAGCAACAACGACACGCTCGCGATAGCCAGGCTTCGTGACCTTGGCCTTTGACTGGCTTTCAGGCTGCTCACGGCCTCGCTGAAGAAACGCGGTCATGATCTTGTTTGTCTGGTCGCTTGCGGTGACATCCGAAGCTGGCATAGTGCCGCTGTTGCGAGCGATTGACTGAAAAGTCTCGAAGGATTGATTAACCGGGTGTCGCGTGCATTCCAGAGCATGTGAGATCCAGTTGCTGGGAGTTGAGAGCGGAAGGGTCTCATCAGCAAAGCTCTGGACACCCTTGGTGCGCAGTGTTGTGCGATACTTGCTAAAGTGTTGTGAGTTTCAAAGAATAGAGACTAAGATTAAAGACGCACTTGCAATACCGACAGAAAACCTTCCACACTCGTTTCTCGCCCTTCTGCACCGACTTGGCTTCCTTAGTGAGATATTGGGACAGTGCCCAAGTAAGTTTGTTGCTTGTCCGAGCTGGACTGTTGTCATCCTCGTCCTCGGAGCTGGAGGATGACTTCGAGGACATCAATGGTCCGCCAGCAATGATCAATGAGGCACTCACGGAGTCCACCACAACCGTCTTCTTTTTAGCTGCCTTCTTTTTAGCTGGTGCTTTTTTAGCTGGCGCCTGTGTCGTCTCGTTCGATGTGTCATCATTTGACGCGTCCGGGGACTAGAACCCACCATAAGGATCCCCGAATAATATCAGCCGTATCCACATACCTTGGTGCGGTGCTTTTTACGCTGTTTTTTGGTGGTTTGGGAAGCGGTTGCGGGTTCGTGTGCGTCTAAATTAATGACCTTGTGAGTCTCCTGCCCGGAATCCTTCTTCTTGCGCTTCTTGCTTTCACCGGTTGGAAGCTGATTTGATCAGACTCGATCAAGAGCACAAATCTGAGGGCACTCGCACCTCAGCTTCGGTCGCATCTCCATCTTCCTGCAAGACGCTGTCTTTGCTGTGTCCCAGATTGTGGTTCTCTGAGACGTCTGATATGTGCGCTTTCAAACTAGAAATCACAGTGAGTGAGCACATTAAATCCGGATCCGTATGACACTCACGCAGCACTAATCAAATCAAGAAGCTGATCTACGCGAAGCTGGATCATCTTCACATCCATGTCTTGGACCAACGATGCGTAATGCTTGGCCCAGTTATGAGCCAAAATCAACCCATACTTCCCTTGGCAAACAAGAGGGAAGAGTGATGAGCAATCACGGCCTGGAGGAATGCGAAACGCGCGTTCCCATCCAATATTGAAGGCTTTGTATGGACCCTCTTCATCCTCGGGATATCGTGGTGTGCCGGTGTTGTCGAGGGAGGCCCAGAGATGTTGTCCGAGTGGCCCTGTCCGCGCACCAGCTAAGCGGCCATCTGGCAGTCTAGAGATAGCTTCGGCGAGCTTGACAAGCGAGGCTTCCATGGCTGCGGGAAAAGCGGGAGAAGTTGTGTCGACAGATTGACAGGTTCTGTCAATTTTTTAGGTCACGCTCACACTTCTTCAGATCACGGATGACTGACAAATCCAGATCTCCCCAAAAGATCTGCAGGATCAGATAAGATTAAACAATAAGATATCGTGATATATCACGATATGGTGGGCACGTATTATAATGTATTAGTATCATATCATATTATATCAAGGAATATTGTATCCAGCGCACCACCTGGAGCCCGTATCATATCAGTATGAAACAATATATCAGATGATATATTGTTTCCGTATATAATTTTGGACAGCACTAATGCCAGCACATGCTCCTCACAATATATGCCTCTAGGCTCTCTGCCAAAATGCTCTGGATTCAATTGAAACAGTGAAATCAATCCAAGAAACAGTCCACTGCATGTATACTACAAGTGCACACTCGTTGAAAAATAAGCGCTAGTTATGATCTACTTGCACCCATAATGGGCCATGCCCTCTCATCCCAGTCCAGATGGGTCCAGATGGGTCCAGATCTGACAATCAATAATTCGATCAACCATGGGACACTAAATCAAATGTTTCGGAAACTCCCACCCCAGGTTGTCTTTTATGGCTCTGGAACTTGCTGCTTTCTGCAGTTGTTTAGATGGAACCAAGCAGAATGTCACATTTCAGTCTTGCAATCAACTACACTGCAATTCATCATCCAGATTGCCCCATTTGTCATTTGAACATGCCCTGCTGACACAGGGGCAGGAGCAGTTACCACCTATCCTTGTTACCCTCCAGTTTCCACACATCCCTTGATTCTTCATGGACAGTCATGCTCACAGGACCTAAAAACCTGAATATTGTGTTTGTGGGGAAATTGTGTGAGTGCCTTCGCAATGAAAGCCTTATTACAAGCACTATTTTGTGAGTGAATACAAATACAAGAAAATTTCCATCCATTCGGTGCAGATGTACTCCCGAAATCACGTGCATAGATGTTCAACCAGCCACGTGCCCGTCACACCCAACATGCACAGTTGGAATTCAAGTCAGCCTCGGGATCATCTTCAAGAGTACCATCGATTCAAAAACAGAAAATTAACCGAACCAACTGATATCATTCAAGTATGAAGAGATAATGTTAAACATATTTTACATATTTCAAATAATTAGGCCGCGAGGGACGTGATCGAGGCTGGAAGCGCGTTGTAGATGGGGCACAGCTGGTTCCACTCGGCAGTGGGGATCAGCTCCGACTTCCAGTCAGGCACATCCTCAGCAAACACAATAGCAAAGCCAGCCTCCAGATGCCAGTCGATGTGGCAGTGGAGGAACCATGCTGGTGGAATCATTCATTAGTGGTTCAATGAGTCACAAATGTCGACTCACGTCCGCGGTTGTCAGTGAAGAAACGGATGGTAACATTGTCGCCTGCCCCTCCGATGTTCACGACGTCTCGTCGAGCCGGGTTGACGTAGTTGTATGTGGTGCTGCCGGCGGACCGGATGACATCGAAGGCGTGTCCGTGCAAGTGGAAGGGATGCTGTTCACTCGGTCAGCTTTCAGTCCACGAGGATGATGAACTAGAAACTGACGCCGCCACCAACCACACCTCCTGCTAAGGTGACCTCAACCGACGCAAAGTGCGGGAGCGTATAGACTGAGCCGTTTGGCAGCAGCGACTGGGCGTTCTGTGCGCCTGACAGAATTTGGAGCAGGACGGGAACAGTAGGTGGGACGAATGCCACGCCGTTGATCGTAAATTTGAAGGTTGTCTATCAGACATTCAGGACGAAGTGGGTGCATCGAAGCTCATTCAACTCACCAAATCAAACGCCAAAGCTAGATTGAGCTGTACGTCGGCACCGCCAATGAACGCACCACCGGGAGCACCGGGGTCAACGAGCGGGTGCAGGTTTACCTCATTGACCAATCCATTGACCGACGTGTCTTGCGAAGTTGTTGGTTCAGAATTGTTCGCTCCGATATCTGGAAATATGATGCTCAGAACGGGACACGCAGATCCCTCGTGAGATGCAGACATACAGCGAAGAATCGCGGAGTTGATACCCCCGGCGAAACCAGTGGGGCCGTTGTTCGGGTTCGCACGAATCCAGTAGTTGCCGATGGGCTGATTGGCAGTCAAGATGAACGAATAACGTTGCGCTTGAGACATTTGGTGACTGCTCGCAGGCACGGAATTGCTGAATCGCCCTTACCTGCGTAAATTTGAATGGAATCAACGCTCAACGGCTGATGGAGGATCCCGTCCGCTTCGATGATGGTCAGGTTCTTGTGTCCGTCGATCTGGAAGACGTAGTTGGAGTCGCAAGCAAGGTTGACCAAACGGAAGCGGTAGCGCAAGCCCTTTTTGACGGTGATCACAGCCAGAGTCGTGTTGGAGACTGTGGCAGCGGTACGTCCAAGGCCGTTGATGAGCATAGATGACGGGGTCCTGTCCAATGGAGGCATCAGAATATTATGGAGGAATTCGAGCCAATCCTTGCACTCACGCGACACCGACCACAGTCTCTGCAAAGACGTTGTACCAGTCGCTCAAGGTGATCACTGTCGACTCGTCGTCGACGTCGTAAGCATGGAGGTATGCGTCCTTGGGATCGTAGATGACCATCGCGCCACGCAGACCATCGCAGTACTGAGTGGCGAGGTGTGAGTGATACCAGAATGTTCTGAATCGAACGCAGTCAGAATGGAACCGAAACTTCGGTAAAAAGAAAATGCTCACCCAGATTGTTGGGAAGTGAAATCATATGTGAACGAGTTCCCGGGCGAGATCGGACACTGATTGATGAACGACGGCCCGTCCATGTAGTTGGTCCCATTCTGGAACAATCCATGCCAATGCTGCGCGAACAATCACAATCAACAATGCGAGTCGCGACAAACGTCTGCTCCGCTCACAATGGAGGTCGGTTCGAGCATCCGAATGTCCTTTTGCTGATCGATGACCGTGAGCCGGAAGTTGTCCCCGATGCGTCCCCTGACGAGGGGACCAGGGAATGTTCCCCCAGCAAGGACGGCAGCGCGAGGGACACCGTCAGGAGCAATGGTCTTGTTGGCGACGACGAATGAACCAACGGGCCCAATCGCTAACCCAGCGGTCAGACGAACTGACGCAGCCAGGGAGAGAAGGGTCCAAGAAGTGAACATCTTGAGAGGGATTTACGGCGGAAGAAACACCAGGATCGGTGTTGGGCTCCCCAGTGAGTTTGTGGCCTACATTTATACTGCTTCGACAAAGCAGCCATCAACCCGTGAAAATCCGTCTCCTGCAAGAAGTCGAGAATGAAAATCAACATCTGCATGGGGCTGCACGGAAGTGAGGATGACTGAAAGCTTTGGCGTACAGATTCGAACAGCGCCCAAAACAGCAGAGGTCGCCGAAGGGAGAAACGTCAACCATGGGTAGCGAACGACATCTGACATTCCCAGACTCTGAAACATCGCCGATGCATCCTTACCAAGTTAGAGCGAAGAGAGATGCACATCGTCCCTTTTGCGCTGATGCGACTCATTCTGGCCGTCTATAGAATGTTCATTCTTCCCACACTAAATTCGGATGTTACCGTCGACCTTGCATAGCCGGTGCCAAGAAAAACATGACAGATTCACAGCGCACAGGCAGGGACACCGACCGTGCCTTTGCGTGGCCGGTGCTGACGCAATGTAAGCCGCAGGTCTGGACCGCGTGATAGCAGACCGATCGATCGTGATTTAGTTTACATGATTTCTTTTGGTCCTCCGTCGTCCAAGTTCGACAGTTCAACTCCGGAATGACCGGTCCAAGCTCCAACGGGTAGTCTCAATCGCGTAGGAAAATTTTCCGCTGCATCGAGTACTCGCTAATGATAGTGAACAAAACATTGACAAAACATGAGCGGTCATTACTGCTGCACTGCCTCTGATCTCGCCGAGGAGCGACCACGGACACGACCAGGTTTGTTGTTTCGGCTTGCACATGGACCGGATGAGCTTCTTCTGCGAATCCGTGTCAAGTGAGCAACTTCAGCGAGCTTCCTTTGCCAGAATCGGTGTTGACTCCGCCGCTTATCAAACCTCCGCTGGCTGGGAACCCGATTGTCGGGAACGGTCATGTATCTCCTTCCGAAATCTGTCGTTCCAGCTCTTGTCTCCCGCAGTATCACTCAGCTCCTAACAAGAATCGCTGAGTCAAGTATTTTTATTCAACGGCTACCTTCGGGCGGTGTAGGTCACAAAAAGATCCCCGCGCTGACTTCTGTTCTGCCACTCAATCGAGGGCCCAGATCTACAATCCGTTCGCCGACGTCGAAACTGTGCTTTTGACCTGTTCAAGTACTCAGCTGTAGGTCATTCTTGCAGTGGGTGGGAGATCGTTCCAGTTGAGCAGTGAGTCTACTGAAAACATCGATAGCGTATAATATTCCCAACTACTCACAGCTCCGCGGGCTGAATGTTTGTTGTGTCGCAGACAATACCGCGCAGTGGAGATACGACCAGTAGCGATCACCTAGAAGACAGAGTCTCAGCGAGTGTAGAGACACAGGAGCTATATCATTAGCTGTACCTAGAAGACAGAGTCTATGGTACAAGTCATAAGTAAGGTCATTAGATCGTAAGAGAGAATGCATACCTCAGCGAGTGTAGAGACACAGGAGCTGAGGATATGGAGCGTATAGTACTAGGTTTATATACCAGTCTGGAGCAGATATCATGATGTCATAGTGGAGTAATGATATCATAGATGAGTAATGGATGACGCAATAATGAGGTCAGGTATGAGGTCATTGTGGAGCGAGCCAAAGTAATCTAAGAATACTACTTATGATGTCATGTCTACATACTGTGATAGTCGCTAATACAAACAAGCTTCAACACTCCCACTCGACTAAACAGTCGGATCACGAAGACCCAAAGACAGCCGATGTTGTTGGAACTTCACCCATGCCAAAGACTTTGTGAGCGTGTCTGAGATCATCGCATCAGTCGGCACATGGTAAAGT